ACACAGTGTGTTCAAGACCAGCTGGACTATATAGCAAGACGCTATCTAAAAAAAGCCAAAGGGTACCACCTCCATGCTGAGCCCTGGGTCCCTAGTCACTACTTTTCCTGGCAGTCATGCCAAACACTGGTAGCTTTGGTTCCAAGGGGATGGCACAGGTAATCATGGGCTATGTCAACAGTAGCCCATAAAGTGGTCCAGCCATTGTGGAAGTCAGGATTGGCAATACCTCAAAAAATGAAACACAGAACTACCAGATGATTCAACAATCTTACTTCTAGGTATATACCCCAAAGAATTAAAAAGCTGGGACTTGACCAAACCAAATATCATCAGCAGATGAATGGATAAACAAAATATAGTACAGTGGTATCTCAGTTCATAAATTTCATACTTTCCACAATTCTGGTTGCAAACTAAATTGGGCGAGAACTGAGTCAAATTCAATGATTGAATGTTACGCTGAATGCTGACCTTATGGGAAAATATGACTCAGTAGCACTATACATAAAAAGGAGTGTTACTCAGCCGTGAAGAGGAAACCACTTAGTATGATACATATGGTATCAGTATGTGTGAACTTTGAAAACTTAATGCCGAATGGGGCTGGGGATTTAGCTCTGCAGCACAGTGCCTGCCTGGCAAGCGCAAGGTCGTGAGTTTGATTCCCGGTACCGGAAAAAAATAAAAATAAAAAAAAAAAAAAGAAAACTTCATGCTGAGTGAAGCAACTCAGGCACAAAAGGACAGATATTAAATGATTTCACTCATAAGCGATACTTAAAACATGTAAACACAGAGACCAAAGTAGAATAATTGTTACTAGCAGCTGGAGCAAGAAGAAAGTGCGGAGGTACTGTTTATTGGGAACAGAATTTCAGTTTGGGATATTAAAAATTTGGAGATGGACAGTGGTGGTGGTTGCACGGTGAAGTGAATGTACTTGCTCCAGACCAAGCAGAACCTAGTATTTGAGAATTGACCCCAAGGTGCCATGAGACTGAAGAAACAGAGGCAGAGAAATGGAGGATCGCACAGTGTGCAATCGGTTGGAGCATTTACCGAAAGAGAAACATGATCTTCAGCAACAGCAAGACCAAGTGGATCCCTGCAGTTTGGGTCAGGAGGACAGGCATATATATGTTGGTGAGAACAAAAGTGACTTCATCTAAGACAGAATGTACCTGGTTTATCTTAAGCCAATATCAGAGAAAGGCACATTCCTGGTCCCACAGTCTGGCTGTAAAACTCCACATACCATTCTAATGGTTTTGTCTATTTATAGAATTCTGGGAAACTATGAAGTAAAAACTAACTAGGGTTACTCTGGGGCAATCATGGTGGTTACAGCTCAAGATGGCTCCAATCATGCCAAGGAAATCCATATAGCACTTAACACCACTGAATAAAACATAAATATGGTAAATTTTATAGTATGTATATTTTACTATGGTACAAATTTTAAAAAACTTTGACTAAGTACATTTTAAAAAATGTTTTAGTTTTAGACTAAGTAGATTTAGTCAGAAGGGATAATGTTGACTGGATATCTGGGTCAATGTCTGCTTTTTAATGTTTGTCATTATCCACAGCTCCTGCCCTCCCTTTTACATCTGCATTATGAATGATACTTACCACGTATCCAGGAACATAGAGCCATAGCCCTGGCCTCCAAGGACTACCATTAGAAGGGCAGTCTCATTCTTCAAGTACATCTGTCTTCGCACTGGGTAAAAGATAAATCTCTTTCAGGCCTCCAGGCCTCGCATACCCTGAACCTTTCTTAGCTCACAGCACATCTTGGGGAACTCATGCTTTTTCCTCATTGGCCGTGGTGAGCTTCCCATCCCTTGCTGCCAAGGGTACCTCCTGCTTAGAATACATCCTCTCCTCTTCCTGCTGGTTAATAATCACATGCTTCAGTGTCCAGCTCAACTGTCACTACCATGGGCAACATTTCCTCACCTCATATCAGGTTACATCTCCTTTCCACATACTTCTACCATTATACCCTTTCTTGGAAGCACTTTTATACTCATTTGTTTGTTTGATTATTTGAACAATCTTGTCTCCCCCACTAGATGACAAGTTTCAGGACTGCAAGGACCCTCTCTGTTTCTTCTCACTATTGAACACAGAATCTATACAGGGTGTGTGACACTCAGCAAATACCTAGGGTTAGCTGTTACTTTAACAAAGTACCTGAGAGAAATAAAATTTTAAGGTGGAAAGAATTATTTTGGCTCACTGTTTCAGAGGGCTGAATCCATGGCTGCTTGGTCTCATGTTGCCTTCAGGCTTGTGGCAAGGCAGAACATCATGGTGGGAGCACGTGGCAGAGGATGCTGCTTGGACTACGGCAGCCAGGAAGCAAAGAGAAAAAGAGGAGAGGCTGGAGCCTCAAAACCCTCTTCAAGGACACACCTCCAATGGCCTAACTTTCTTCCACCAGACCTCACTTCCTCAAGATTCCACTTCCTCCCAATAGCACCATGGACTGGCAACCAAACTTGCAACATATGGGCCCTTGGGGGACATTCAAGAGCCAAATAATACCTCTCCTCCACCACTGTTTGCTAATGAATCAGAGAATGAATATGTGAACAGAAAAATGACTGACAATACCTGAGTCCAAGTGTATAAGTAAAGGATGCTGTGACCTGCTCATCTAACTCCATACTCTACCCTGTAGGACATGTTAAGATTACTTGGAAGCGAGAGATGTAATACATTTTAGATTGACAGCAAAAGGAAAGCTATTAGAGGTACAGGTTCCTTTTACCATATTGCATACTTTATGCTGGTCTTTAAAATTGCTATTACAGGCACAACTTGAAACTAGAATGACACCACTTTTAATTTTCTCACACTGGTAGTCATTGATCTGCATTCATCTCTTAAGGGGAAATGCCATTGAATTCAGGAGAAAAATACTTAACCTGCATGGTATTCAAAAATTGCTGGAAAAGCTTAGCTCCCATACACCATGCCAGCGACCTTGCTAAGTAGGTATGTTAAACACTTAAATGTATAATTTTCTATGGGCGCTTTTGGTAAAAACATTCTTTCTTCTTTTTCACGTCTTCCAGCAAACCTCATTATCCTTCTTGTGACCCTGCAGGCATCTCATTTTCTTTTGGCTTGTTTGCAAGTTTTAAAATATTAACTGCATCTCCTGTCGCAGGAAAGGTTGCTTGGCTACTACTCTGCAGTTTTAGAGTGTGAATTCTTTTACTTCACCATTGCTACCTCGAATAAAGGGATTTAATGCATTTTCATAGCAGCTAGACATAATTAAAACCTCTTATCTTTATTGTGTAGAGTCATCATTATTCTCATTTGGAAGGCCAAGGGGAATATACATGGGAGAATATGTATTAATTTTGAATAATGTTGAAACTAAATTAGAGTAAGGTCATAAAGTGTCAGTCACCATGGAATCGGGAAAAGGTGCTGCTGTCTACAGGGCACTAGCTGTTAAGAAACAGGAAAAAAGAAGAGTGAAACGAGAACAAGGAGGCTCAAGGAACGGGCTCTCAGCTATAGATTTATTATCATTCGTGAATTAGCTAGAGATGTATAATTGTGGAAAATGCAGCTGACCGAGATCTACGATATAGTGAAATGCTGAACAATAAAGACTTAAAGAAAATGTGACTTAAAAAAATACATTGTATAGGGAATCTCAGGTATTGTACCTGCTTGGAAGAAGTAATACTGCAAAAAGCAACACCCTTGCTCCTGAAGACCTTGAAATATTATATAAATGAATGCAGAAGGGCATTTTCCCTCTTTAGCATTTCTCAAAGCAAGATTTAATTGTGGGATATTAAAAGAGATTTCAATAGGACTTTTCAGCACCTTTAATATATTGACAAATACTTAGAATTACCTCTAAGAATGGGAGTACTATAAAGTGGTTGCCAAATTTATTTAAAGATGATACTTTTTTTCTTTTTTTGCTTTACAGTGTGAACTTGTGAGACTCATATATCCTGGAACATTCTGGAAACCCTGACTTACTAAAAAGTAGAGGCATAGCCAGACTTTAAAGAATTTTAGAAATTTCTTCATTAAATATCAACTAAGTGCTTCAATCACTAAGAAATGATGTGAGGTCCCACACCACCAAGACCTGTAATCCAGCACCTCTTTATGACAGCAATATTTCTAATAGTAAAAAAACAAACAAACAAACAAAAAAAACCAAAAAACCAAACAACTACCAAATGTTCATCGAATAGTAAACAAAGTGTGGTGTATCCATATCATGGCATATTAGTCATATAAAAAATGAAATTCTGGTGCAAGTTATAATACACGGGATAACTTTGAAAACATTGTGCTAAGTGAAAGAAACCAGACACAAAAGAACTAATATTGTACGAATCCCTTTATCTGAAATGTCCAGAGTAAATCCATAAGGACAGAAAGCAGAATAGTAGTTGCCAGGTAACAGAGAAAGGGAGAATGGGGGATGACTGCTACTGGGTATGTAGTTTCTTTTAAGGATAAGAACTTGATCGTGATCATGGTTTTATAAGCTTATGAATGTACCAAAAACCACTGGGTTGTGCAATTTATTTACTTATTTTGAGACAGGATCTTGCTATGTAGTTCAGGTTGGCCTTGAATTCATTATGGAGCCAAGGCTGACCTCAAACTCATGGTAATCCCCCTGCCTCAGCTTCCCAAGTGCATGGATTACATGCAAGTGCATGGTGTGTGCCACCACACCCGGTTTATGTACTTTAATGGGGTGAATTTTAGTAAGTGAATGTATTTCCATTAAAAAAAAACAACCCAGGCTGACGGTGTTGCTGAGCAGCAGAGTGTATCCTTAACATGCACGGAACTCTGGGTTCAATCCTCAGCACTAAAAAAAACAAGGAGAGCAGCAGGAGAAGGAGCAGGGACATAGTAACAATAATAATAATGAAGGAAGTAGTATACCTAATAGTCATACCTCTCATGGGAATCAAAACTGAAAAGAACACAACTATTCTTGTCAACAAGTTTATTTAATGAAGATACTAGATGTTATTTACAGAAGATATACATACATACAATTCACATTAAATGTAATCTAACTGTGAGAACAGAAACATGTACTCCAAAATTACATACTAAATAAAATAAATAAAAAGTAATTATTTGGCACAATATCTATTATGTAGCAAATAAATAACTCTATACCATTAATTGAATGAACTATTTACAATCTATTTGAAAGTGCAAAACAATTGTTGAAAATTAAGACATTTGTAATAACATCTAAATCCAGAAAATATGTCTTTTTTTCCATCAGTAACAATAAATTTGTAGCTGAAAGGTTTTTAATGCCCAGGAAAATATTTCAATTTTGGAAAATGCTTTGTGCATATTGTGCTCTTCTGAAATGTTATTTCCTATCTTAACGCTGGCAATTTTAAGAACCGTGGTGTTTCTTAGTGGAATTCTTATGTAGGTAATCTTGAGTTATAAATTTAAAAAATTACATTGTAAACATAAATATTCTATACACCATTCAGAAATTACAGACCAGTCCTCCCTAAGTTACACCCATAGCCATAATGTTTTATAATAACGTGGGCAAGTTCTATGCCTTTAGAGGTAAGTCTATGAAGATGGAATAATAAAACTATAATTTGGACTTACACAGATTCCTCAACACCTGCTCCAAACCCTAAGCTCCAAATCAAGATGTTGAGCTAAAAATTATGAAACTGTAACTAGTCACCACCGATGTATCCGAATCAATCCCCTTTGTAGCACATCTCATACTGTGTACACTCTTGGGATAAGGACCAGGAGCTTGGTATTTCTGTTGACAGTGGATTTCTATCAGGCTCTTCGTGCAGGCCTTATGAAGATGGTACAACTGGAAATGAAACAGAGTGATAACCGATTGGAGGTTCCTAAGCTAGAATATGTAAGCTTTATGGAAGTCAAATAATTTCTTCTCTTGCCATGTAGTTGGTAAGCTGAAAGCGGCCCTGAGGTGTCTCAGGATGTGGCTTTGTTTCTTTTGTAGGATTCCCTAGTGGCATTACAGTCAGTAGTAGCACAAATGGCATTTTTGAAATTTGATTGTAGATTGGAGACAAACCATTGCTCTGGGCATGTTAGATGTCTATGGCCGACGAGGCTCTAATCTGTGCGACATCTGTGATAAAGTTCTCTGGTTGTCAATCACATTTAATTGCCGTACATAACTCCGGACATCCTGATGGTTCTTATTAGCTTGCGCTGCATCAGGACCTGGGGAAGAAGAAAGGGCAGAATTGGCATTGCATTATATATGCATATAAGATCCAGCTTTATTTTCCCTGGCGACTTATTACATTTATCACAGATTCCCGAGTTCTGTCAAGGCCTTTCGACACACCACATTCACTGAAATATTTCCATGTGGTTGTTGTGTCGCCTCCCTTTTCCCCTTCACTTTTCTTTTCCTCCATGGAATCACCTCTTTTGATCATTTTCCTCTGCATCGCACATTGTGGGGAAGGGGAAGGGCACCAAATAACAAGGGAAGCATCTGTCTGATGGCCCCTGATGTCAGATGAAAATTGTTTCCCTTTACCAGCCCACCTCTGTCTCACACATTCTGTGTCTTCACCTCCTTTGAGCCAGAAGAGGGCTGACGTCAAAAGACATAGTTTCATTAGCAATTCACAAAAACACTTAACACCTGCACCGAACTGAAGCAAACAGGGAGATGATGAGGTCCTGACTGCCCCCTTCACTTGGGTTCAGCATGCGGCATTGCCACACAGACTGTGTGCTCTTAGAGACTCCAGATTCCAGGAAAACCCAACTTAGGGGCCGATGTTATGACTTTACTACACCTTGGATCTTCTCATGCTACCTGTTCTGAAAACCCAGTGGCCATTCTATCTGACTTTACTGAAACCAGTGCTGCAAGAATATCCAGTGCTGACAGCCCTACACAGGCACTACACAAAGATGAGGAAGGCTGCATTTGATAGCTGTGAATTAGAAACACAGTTCCCTTGGGAAGACTGCCTGGCTTCTGAGAGTCTCTACCGTGTAGGAATCTGTGTTCAAACTTGCCAGCTCTTCCTTTTTCTTTTCTTTTTTTCCCTTTTCCTTTCTTTCCTTTTTCCATCCCTCATTTCCTTCCTTTCTTCCCCACTTTCTTCTTCCCTTTCTTTTGAGAAATAAGAAATCTAAATTTCTGCCCTGTGAATTCTCCCAGTTGTTAAGAGGTGACATTTCAAAATAAAAGGGAAAAATGCTCTGTTTCAATTCAACATCTCCATTGTGATTTCTGGCCATCTCTGTTCCATGGATCACTGTGTTTGGGGCCACTGGCCCAGTCAAACAGCAGAAGTGGCCAAGCTGGAGTCTGGACTTCTGACCAGAGTTCTCCCAGCCACTATGGAACAGAGCTTTCTGCAATCTGGTTGCTCCTGTTCCATCATCCACCCACTACTCGCTGAGACAATTAGGATGCCATCTGCATAGGGGTGAAGGGGAGAGGTGCAGGTCTGCACACAGAAAAGCAGAGAAGATACAAAGGCCCCCACTTTCTGTAAGAAGAAACTCATCAGTATAATTATCACATATAAATAATACCACAGTGAACTGCAGAACACATTGTGCTTTATTTCCTCTGCTTCTCGCTGGCAGTGTACTCTACACGTACAATATACTGTAATTACATTGTATATTTCCCCACAATGTTTATGAATCTATTCCTATAGCTTTATCTATAGATTGTTGACTTCAGAGCTGAACAGCTGCTGTTTACCAGAAGTTACTGATAACTTCAACAAGCACAGTGGAGATTAAAAAAAAAAAGCCCTCCCTCCCCCTAGACATAGAAGAACATAGAATGGACTTCCAAAGAGGTTCATAGCACAAAGCAGATTTTACCACAGTTCTTTGGTTCTTGAACCTCAATGAATCCCCTCTTAAGGCTAGGAACTCTCTCAGGGACAAAATATTTTGGATATAACTTCAGGAATTTCCTGGATCCTTCTGAGGGCCATGGATCTAGACTGCAAAGCCCTGTTGTAACTGGTGATGCTTACCTATTCTTGTATCACTTGTACAACTGCCTTATGACCATGTCTTTAAATGTGCAGTAAATTACTATTGGAAAAGATGGTGAGACACTTTAATTCTGATGGAATCCACATAGGAAATAGTTGATGATCCCGAAGACTATTCTTACTTTGGTACTCAGAGAGGACACAATTATTTGAATTAACTTTTTAAAGATCTACCTGCTCCCCAAGTCAAGATTACTTTTCCAAGATCTTTCCCTCTGTGCATTAAAAACAAAAAAGAACATTTGGCTGTTGTAGCACCTCACGTCAGTGAACTCTGAATTTGGCCCATCTTGCACTACAAAGGGCAAACCATTCTGCTTCACAAAACAAGAATCTTTAGTTTCTTGGTGTTGGGTGTATGGGAGGTGATGGTATTAGTACGCACATGGTCATGCTTATGTCATTTTGTCATGTAGTTGTGAGCCAAATTTCTTCAAGTAACTCATAGAACGACATTAACCAAAAACTTCAAAGGGTCTACATCCTTATTCACAAACCAGGATATGGAAGCCAAAGCCTGGTCCTAGGCAGAGGAGATGGTAGCACTGGTCTAGCATGACCATCTGGTGCTATGATGCAACCTAACTTCTGACAGATTATGACTGTTCTTTATTAGCTGTAATATTTTTCAACATATTAAAGCATTATAATAGTTCTTATGATACCTGCTTAAATTTTTAAAAACAGCTCAGATTTTCTGAGAATATGAGAAATATGATATGAAGTCCTGCTAAGGGGCTCTTTATGAATATACTATAAACATTAATATATTCTCACAGTGCCCCGACACACTATCATCTTTCCTGGCTTATAAATGACAGAACTGAGTCACCGACGGCTGACGTGAGTTTCTCTACATCAAGCAATGAGTCACACAGAGAGCTGGCTGGAGGTAGGGCTCGTCGGCCGTCGTGCTCTACCTGTTTCTAGTCACAATGGAATGAGCTAATTAATTCTGAAATTCACTCATAAAATAATATTCCTATGGATCCTTTCTAATTTTTAAGAATGTAAATACTTTCTAGTTTCACCACAGCAAAACAAAGTCCTTAAACTCAAGGCCCCTACTGCATGGAATGCAGGGCCCGAAGTGCCTCTGACATGATCAAATGCTATCCAGACTCTTAGAGTGTCTCAGTGGTCTCATTAAAAAGGACTTAATCACCAAGAAATCCACTGCAGGATGCAGCAGCAGTGAACTTACTGAACGGCTGGCTCCGGTAGTACCTCACTGTTCTGGCGGTGTTTGCAATCATGCGCTAAAAGGAATAAAAAAAGAAAAGACAGACAGAAATGCAAGTCAGCTTAGTGTATAATCCCAAAAGGGAAACAAACCATTACTTATTCCAGCTACACTTGGTCCACAGAAACAGCGTGTTCTGAGATGTCAACTCTCTGAAGGCACCTGGTTGATGCATAACCTTTTTAATGACTTCAAAGAGGCACACACATTCAAGTGTACAAGACGTTTTCAGGTAAGGAGTAGAACGGCAGAACTCTAGCCTCGTTTGCTTGATCCCTACAATGTAAAAAGCATTGCTGAGACTGTACTGTAATTCTCAGAAATAGTTTTCACCATCCTTTCCTGAGGTCAGTGTGAATTTGTAACTATCCTAGATTTGAAGGAGGGTTAGCCTGTCAGGTTCCTCAAGGTAAATACAAGCTACTAACAAGGTATGAGATTATACTGACTGAACAGTGAGGAAAGATAGTCTCCCTAGGAATTTTTACACACTATGCATTACTATCCTCTCCAGTCTTCAGTAATATGATTTAATGTTAATCCAAATTGTTTTTCTTTCTTCCTTCTTTCCTTTTACTTCCTTTCTAATTATAACAAAAATATAGGCACATTTTAGAAAATTAGAAAATATTAGGAACAAAGTAAAACCACTTAGAATGTTACTTTACAGAGTAAACTCATTAATATTTTGAAATATTTCATTCTGATATTTAAAAATGAATACATACAACCATACTACAAAAAGTTGAGTCATACTGTATGGACATATTTATTTTGGTTTAATTTTTTCACATTGTATTGTGATTATCTGTGATGTCTCTTGAATTTTAAAACATTTTAAAAATGAGTGTGTATTCCATGAAGTGGACATATTATCACTTGTTTGACCTTTGTTAATTTTGTCATTAGGTAATCTGAATTTCTTTGTAAAGTTTTGGTAGGAATTTAAAAGGGAACATTTTATGCTGAACAAAAGCAGAGAAGAGGAAAAAAATGAAGCACAGAAACAGAAACTTGTAATCCCTGAGGAAAAACACCAGTGAGACCTAAGGATGTACATTTTCGCTCCTGGTGTTTTAACAATGGGTGGCACGCCCTCATCCTGGGCCCAGCCCTTGTGCCGTTTTGCTGCTCCGACTCTGAGGGGAATCCTACTAAGACAGTGGACTAATCGTACTGTTCGCAGAAAATTAATAAAGCTTCACCCAGAAAAAGAGATCCCCCCATTTCTGAAGGGCTCTGAGATTCCAGTCCTTGCTTTCTTCTCTGTGAGACTCTTGGTTTACCAAAGTATAAGAAAATTACTTTGAGAAAGCTTACATAGTGTAAAAAAAAAATCATAGCAGAGTCAGAGCCTTACAAACATATAAATGTGAGCATCATAATGCCTCGCTGAATACCACGGTTTTGAGGACTCTGGCAAGCACTAAATGACATGTGTCTGTGTTGGATGATTTCTCATACACAAAGAGGCAATCGGAAAAGTTTGAATTTCACTTTCATAAAGGATCCTAAAAACCAGCCTGTCTGTTGATCAGCATGAGAAATACATTACAAATACCTTCAAGAAAATGTAACATACAATGTATAATTAGCCTCTGATATATGGAGCCCTGAAATAAACAGTAACTATGATAATTTTCCTGCTAATTTACTTTAAGTTGTTTTTTCACTTCTCTAAAGGCTTTGCATCCGAAGGGCACAAGTATATTCCATGTAGAATTATTGTAATTCTTCAGATATTGAATGGAGTGTAATTACCGAAAACCCTGGGAAATGCTGCCAGTGTGCCCCTCTGAAGAATAATAAAACAATTAGCAGGGGTCAGAAACCTCTTCCTATACCATTTTGTAGGGAGTAATTGTTCTGCTTTTTAGTTTTGAAAGCTAAAACATTTCATTCTGACTTTGGTTTTATACCACTCTTTACAGCTATACTCTGAGGCTTCATAATTTTTAGCTCATTATGTAGTTTAAAATGTGAGAACAATTGTTTAAATCAGTAATTTCCAGTTCCGAAGTTCATTCTACCTTTTTAAATCTTTGATTAATTTTAACAATGCTTTTAATTTTGACATATCCTTTTTAATTGTACTCGAAGATAACTTCAGTCTAACTTCCAAATCCAAATCTGGCTTTACAATGAGGTCCATTCTTATCCTTTGTGAGGTTCAGACAATAGTGTTTAATGGTGTAAACTCCTAGTAATGATGTGTGAACCCCACTTGCAGTTGCTGGTCACTACATGGTTACAGAATGCTTTCGGGGGGACCAAAGAAAGGTTAACCTGATATTTTAACTCCATTCTTTTTTGCACCCAAGACATGGTGGATATTCAATATGCACCCGGACCTCAGAAGTCACTTCCTTGAACCATCTCCAGGGTGCATAATGTTTTCCACAGCCTGCCTAAAAGCTGCCTTGCCACATGTGGTGGGCACACACCTACAATCTCAGGTACCTGGAAGGCTGAGTCAGGAGCATACCAAATTCAAGGCCAGCCTAGGCAACTCAATGAGACCATACCTCAAAATAAAATAAGATAGTGAAATAAAGTGATAGAGTGAAATAAAGTGAAATAAAGAGATAGAGATATAGCTCTGTGGTAGAACATTTTGCCCACCCCATGCAAGGCCACGGCTGGGTTCAGTGGCAGAGCATTTGCCTAGCATGGCAAACAGTCAGACAGACAATAACAAAATTGGCTTCCCACTGTTGGAATGCATCTGGCAAGAGGAATATATTACCTCCAAGGATGGCCCCTTTCATTCATAGACACGTCTGATTACTAGAAAATTCTTTATGACTGTGAGTCAAAGTCTTTCTCCCTTTACTTTGTTCCTACTTCTGAGCTCTGGAGCCCTACAAGAGGCTACTTCTTCAAATACTTAAAGACAACTGTTATGGACATCTTTCCACCCCAGCTCTTTTCTTGTTCAGCCCAACCATCCCCAATTTCTTCAATGATTCTTCCTAAAACAGTTTTGGGTCTCTTCTGGGCAGTCTCTAGTATGATGCTATAGTTGAACAAAGCTCACCATGCAAGGAAATTATCTTCCTTTCTTCCTTCCTTGACCTAGCAGATGTCAGACATCCAAAGGCTATAGAAATTTAAAAAAATTTGGGGAGGCTACTGATGTCTGCTGAACTAACAGTGAATTAACTTCTTGTCCTGCTCCATCTCCATTGAGTTGGTGTTTGAATCCACCTTCTGCTCTATTAATGTGCAGTTGATTATTCCATAGACTAAAGTGGAGGATTTTACATTTATCACCACTGAAATCTACTTAGAGTCTGTCTTCCCACAGATTTAAGCCCCACCTGGGACTTTGATGGCAGACAGGTGTTTATTCATTGGAGTTTCCACCAAGGTTAGCTGAAACGAAGGGTAGAGAGACACAAGGCTTCATTATCCAACTGCCACCCCAGGGCTGGAGCCAAAAATTACACCCTGGCCTTGGAGGTCCTGCCAGAGCAGGTTGGCCTGCCTGGAGCCAGCCAGGCAACTCTGTCACGCCAGGCTAGGGCAGAAATTCCTGACCGCTCCAAAGCAGAGCTTCTTGTCTTTTTTTTTTTTTTTTTTCCCCATCCTAGCACACCTGAAGTTTGTGACACACTCATTAACAATTGGCTCCTTGTGATAGCAATAGGTAATTCAGGGCAAACGGGAGGAGAACATGCTCCCCGAGAAGCGCTGACAGCTTAGTAGGCAAACTGCAGTCCCCTCTTCACTGATTTTTCCTGAGTCTAATTCTAAGCTTGTTTGCAAAAATTAATGTTCCCACAGTTCCTGACCTACAGCTCCCAGAGACGGCCTGCAAAGAAGTCCTGGTGTAGGGAAGCCCAGAGAGGACCCAAGGTGCAGCCTCAGGGCACTGGGCCAAGCTCCTGTATCTAACTCCTCCTTATAGCACAAGACAGTGACTCACAGCAGCTGTCCCTTCTGGGGCTCAAGGTAATGAGTGACCAAGACACATCCGGAGCAGAAGGGGAGAACAGGCACTGCCTGCACCCAGAGCTGAGGCTGCAGCCTCTGGGGCTGATGCAGGCAATTCCCTGGGACCCACTGACATCCAGGTACCTGGTCCTCAAACTGTGCCTTCCTGTGGCACTGTGCCTCAGAGCAGGCTGGCCAGGACAGCATTCCTCTTACCCAGACATGTTGCTAACCCACCAGGACTTGGTGTCCCCAGCTGTCCTGGCCAGCCCCATGCTGACTCTTGAGCCCAGTCCAAGCGCCCCTGCCTCCCTGAGGCAGAGGAAGTGAAGGCTTGTGGGCCCAGTTTTCAAGTTCTGATCGGCAACATCCTGCCCACACCATCTTATGCTGTCACACTCAGACGTGGCCAGCACGGCACTCTTGGTTTAGGCTACTCTGCCTCTTTGTAACGATGCACTGAGAATCTGCTCCTTCACCTCCATCCTCTTCTGACTTGAATGGTTTTTGTGTTTCCTTCTGTTGCTGTCTAAGTACTTTCCCCCCTTTATTTCTAGGGATGGAAGCCAGGGTGCTCTGCCGCTGAGCTACATCCTCAGCCCTTTAACTTTTTTTCATTTTGAGATAGGATCTCAAATATAGTTGGCCTTGAACTTGGGATCCTCCTGCTTCAGCCTCCTGAGGAGCTGGGATTACAGGTTATGATACCGACCATTCTTGTTCTTAATGATTGCCAAATTGCCTTCTCTTTTCTTGTATTTCAACTCCCACTGACTTGACTCTTTCCCCATCTCTATGCCTATCAAAGATAAAGAGTTCTATCAGTTACTCTTTGCTTAGTATAAAGCTCCGTCTACAACATTTAATTATTTCACTCCAACTTCCACATCTTCAAGATAAAACTTTTTTTCCACAATACACAGAAATACATCGTCTGTCTTCCACAAAGATTGTGCCCATGATACGAACCAAAGAGAAGTACCTGGTAGGGACCAGAGGTAAGGAGGACCTGGGAGCTGAATATGTTTTTACATTCAGCTGTACCTGTGGCTGAGGAAGGAGCTGGGTCCTGGCCCTGCTTAGAGATCTGTAATAGCCACAGGGCCCAGGACACAGAGATACACATGTGTCACAGAGGAACATGTTCTCATGACTGTACATTTGGTAGCCGTGGGACGTGGCGGTTCAGGCACCTGAACGGGCATGTGTGCAACACATGTGCCTCTCTAAACTCAGAGAAGGATACTAAAGGATGGACATAGCCACACAGGGAAGAAGGAGACAGAATAATGGCCACTTAGGAACAGAAGACTAAGGAAAAGTCACCTCAAGTCATCCCAGTTTTGCAAAATACTTGAGGAGCCCCTGATTAATCAAAATAGGAAACACTTTTGGATTGCATTTTTATTATAAATCACCCTTTAAAAATGCTTTAGTGTCGGGGCTGGGGATTTAGTTCAGCGGCACAGTGCCTGCCTGGCAAGCGCAAGGTTGTGAGTTTGATTCCTGGTACCAGGAAAAAAAAAAAGCTTCAGTGCATTGTCCTTCTTAAATCCAAGAATGGGATATAAATGGAGTTTTTTTATTCAACAAATATTTCTTGCATATTTACAATATGTCAGACATGTTTATGTGTGCTGGAAAAAAATCAATGGATGCAAGAGACAAGATGGTATGGGACACTGACATTTTAGTAGGGACAATGGGGAGGCAAGCAGAGGAGATCATCTTGGTTTGTGAGAACAGCCATCAAGGTGAGGTTATGTGTCAGAAAACTCTGGGTGTGGGGAGATGGCACTGGAAGTGTGGTTGGGGAAGAACACTTGGAGGAGAAAAGAATACATGAGCTGAGGCCTGAACCATGAGAAAGAGCCAGACAAGTTAAGACTGGGATAATAAAGTCTCAGGCAAACGTGACAGCTAGTGCAAAAGCCCTGAGGCTAGAAGCAGAAGAGAGGCCATCAGTTTTGCCAATATAAACTGAGCACACAGGAAATTTAAGTATGAGATGAGGCTGGGCAGGTGTTTATGGCAACAAGCCCAGGTTGTTTTCGGCAAGCCTTGATTTTATTGTGTTATTGTACATAGTATGATTCTGTCTTCTATTAATACACCCGCAAGAAGTTCTCTTTCCTGGATTTTGCCTGTTGATGCGTCTTTTAATATTCTCGTGACCTAGTTTTATAACCTTTGTTGCAGTTTTTCATGTTTAATAGCATATGTATTTTTTTTCATCTTTTCAACTGCATGTAATCTCCTAAAGAAAAAGAGCTACTTTCTAGATATCTTTGTATTCTCCAACAAAATCCTTTGCCTGGACTCTCATGTTGTATTGCTTTGAAATGTACCCTTTGGAAATCCGCATTTAGTTTGGTCTGGAAAAGGTACATAAAGAAGTAAACTCTCAAAGTATTATACTCCCTAGATTTCCTTCATGTTGGAGAGGTCTGGAAAGTGGGTGTCCTAGAACATTTATATTTTTACACAGAGACTCTCCTTGCTATAGCTTAAGGTAACAAGCCAATGCTCCCTCTATGAATCTTATAAGAAGATCTGGTGACAGAAAACATGTTATTGCTAATTATGTAACTATGTGCCTACTGAATCAAAAATAAAAGAATTCAAAACATTTCTCTTCCTCGATGAATAAGCTTCTGCTATTGTTTCCAGAAATCTAGAAGTTGCCCTATAGTTCTCATTCCAAACAAAATGCCTACTCCAAAAATCATATTCATAAATAAATATACCTACAGATGAAAATGTCTGAAATAGAAGAAGCCTCCTAAGACCGCAGCAACTGTACCTATCAGCACGCTTTATGCAGCCTGGAATAGTGGCAGCCGGCCAGCATATTATCCTCTAATCCATTGCTCGTCTACCTTCTAAGTGTTATAAATATTCATATGTGCCATAGAAAGCTATGAAGGGCTTTATTCAAACATTTTTTGAATACTCCTTTATGTTGCCCCCAAATGAAAGAATGTCTGCCTTTTTTTTTTTTTTTTTTTTTGCGTAAGGATCAGAGTGTGAATTCTCTTTTGTTCATACCCATAAATCCTGAAAAGCAATATGCAACAAATTCTCTAATCCTCATTTCATACCTCAAGGGTGGAGATGCTCAAAATAAAAATACTTAGGGTTGGCATGGTGGTTTTCCATGACTGTGCAGTGAGGCCACCAAGAAAAGGCTTCGGAGTTCCTGGCTGCCCTGGTGACTCCCACCCCTGGCAGGATCTCCCCGGGGACACAGCCCAGCAGCCTCACACTTGTCACCTGGCTGATGGATGGCTAAGAAGGGGCATCGACATCAACCCGCAAAGGAAGAGGTGTCCTTTCCCAGGACCAGCAGCCACTGGTGGCAGTACGGGTGATACAGGGGAGGGGTTCACTAGTTTGTGGGAGAAGATGCTAGAAAGCTTAATAGTGCCAGACTGAGCAAAGCCAGACTTAGAACACGTAATGAAATCTCTTTGAGATTCCATTTCATTTTCTAGTAACATCTAACTCATGGAGGAGCACGTCTGAAAACAAACTGTCTCGTGGTATGATCTATCAAATGAAATAAAATGTATATAATTGTGGAAGCAAAAGACTAAAGTACTCTTCCAACTTCCCTTGTCCCCTCCTCTTCGTGGGGAATGCCTTCCTTTTTAGTGGTGCACATGGGTAGCCAGGAGAAGACTACATTTTCCAGCCTTCCTTTCAGGCCACTCCATTTCTGACCAGTCTATGGGAGGCAAGTGGTAAATGCAACTTCTTATCCTTAGTGGGAAGAGCACCTTTGTCCTCTCTTTTCCACTTCCTGTCGCTGGGATGGGGATACAGTGGTGGTGGGTCATCATGGGCCAGATGACATGGAAAGAGAGAAGCCTGGACCTGTGATTGCTTCTTGGGGCCAACATGCCAAGCCCACTTAGATTTCTAAATGAGAAATAAACTTTTCTTTCTCAACTCTTCATTAATTCAGGGCTCCCTGATTGTAGCCGAAATACTACCTAACTATTCAGTTGCTGTGAAGCAAAAGTGGATGAGCAGGTATAAAGAGCATTCCTCTGCCGGGCACAGAGGAACAGATTGCTATGGACAGAAAACACAGAAACGGGGAGGGTACACTCTCCTGGCACCCACTGAATGCCATCTTAACTTTTCCTTTGCAGGTTATGGGTGGAACCCGCAGGTCTGGAAGCCCAGATGAACACCTATTAGCCTCTCTGACAGATGGCTGCTTTGGTGTTCCTCACTGTTCTTGTTTGCTGTTAACTTTAGTAATCAAAGTTCTAAAGCCCAGTCAACTCTTCAGGAAACCCTGACTTTTACACCTCTGTGCACACGTTCATTTTATCATTCGGAGGTTGGCTCAGCCACACTTCAGTTTGCCTTTCTGGATAAGTGACTCAGAAGATACTTGACTCCTTTGTTAAGCCTTTCATTTTGGAAACATAGAATTTGCTTTTGAGACTGTGGGGAAATTATTTAATCCTCCGTACTAATAAGTGAGCAAGAATTATCTTTTGTACTTTGATCAAAAAAAACATTAAACTGACACAGTGATGGAGATATTCATGTCATGCCTTTGGAGTGGGAGTTGAGGAGGAAAATTGCTAAGGAGCTACCTGCCCTCTGATATAGAGTGTCTTTGAGAAATGTGTACTCAAACTATGCTCTAAGAAGCTGAAGACATAGAAATCTAGTTTCTAGCAGAAGTTGTACTTCCTCATCAGGCTGGGCTTGGCCGTAAACTCATTCCGAAGACAGAATGGTGCTGATTCTTATAGAATTATGCAGGGTGTTTCAAATCCTCCCGGAGTCATGCATCCTACTTTGACTTTAAGAAACACCTGGAATTACAGTTTTCCAGTAAGGGTTCTAAACAACTGGAATTATAATTTTCCAGTAAGGATCCCATTGCACATTAGGCCATGTACCATGGAGCTACCTTAACACAGAGACAGAGAAGGCAAGATCCTCATTTTCTGTTGGGGACACTGACCCACAGAGAAGCAAAAGGACAAAACTAGAAAGTGATGAACCCTAGTACTGAACTTCCTGTGTCCCAAACTCTGCGTCTCATGCACTCTCTTAAGTTCCACATTCACATTGTAAGTCGTAACCCTGGGCAAATGCTCACCCTCGTGGAGATAAAATGCTGCACCACTCTAGCCAGCCAGGTTGCAGCCAGAGATTCACAGACAATGGAGCATTCCATTCATGTGCACCAGCAGATAAAGAAAGATTTTGGCATGATCTGCTTTATTGCTTCATGGATGATAAGAAATAAACCGCAAAGTAACCATGCCAAATTATACTCTGTTTTGCTGGCCAGGATGGAGGAGGGTGGCTAGACAATAGTGAATATGTATTGAATACATATGTGACTGTTCTATATTTTTTATTTAATTTTTTATTATTCAAGTTCCCTCTCCAAACCTGGATGAACTTTACTGGGATAAGCAATACACATTTAGACGGATGCTTCATACTCAAGGCATGCTATAGAGCCTTTTACCTACATGCACTGAACTCAGGCTCGGCAGATAAACATTTCAAAGGCATCCTGGGGCAGTCTAGCTCCACAAACCTTACAACAAAACAACACCGAAGTCACTCTGGAACATTTGTGCATTTTAGCAACAGGCAGCCAAGGATAGCAATACACAACACAAAAGCTAGCTGCTGCTGTGAACCACAGCACAAATACTATTCAGTTTCACAAAAGAGACCTGACAGAATAAAATAGGTAGCCAATTTGAACCAAATAGTTCACAACTCCTTTATGTTTGTAACTACCTTTTTAACATGGCAGCATATATGGAAATTTACTTCCTTTATTAGTATAAATGCAAATTTTATTTTAAAAAACATTACGGTTAATGTTATAATACTGCACCTACCATTTTTTCAAAGTTTACTAGATTGTCAATGAACGTCTTGTTCCCCTCATGAGTAAATGTCATATCTGTAAAGAAATAAAAGCCACATTCTAATCACTAACCGAAATATGTCATACTAAGAAAGCACAATAGCACCATTAGATTATGCAGGCAGATTTGCATAACATTGCAGCTGAAAAAGCTGATAATAGTTCCCTTTATGTAAGGTGTTTAACTTTCTAAATCACTTTACCTGAGATTAGTAAAATTTCTAAATTTACCCTCTGTTTCACTAACAAGGCTTCTAGATCATGGATCCTTGCTCTTCTAATCATTCTCCAAGCCTCTAAAAAAATCAGGGCTGAGAGGAGGTTACAGTGCTGAAGGCTGAGAGGAGGTTACAGTGGCGGGATGTGTTTCCCAAAGAAACAGGGTACTGTTTATCTTTCTTCCCCAAATACGCGCGTACCTGCCTGGCCCACACATTCTCCCATTACCTTTGATGAGCAAAGGCATGAAGGGGATGAGAGGAGGCTCCAGCTTGGCTGCTGTCAGCCTGTAGGCCCTGTGGTTTCTTGAAGGATCCTTAGGAGAGACAGAGAGATAGATGCTGGTCAGTGATGGGTAGCACACAGGACACCCCTTTTACTTCCAGGCACACACAGCTTTGATATTTCACAACCGTGTAGTTTTGAACTGAAGGTAACTACAAAAGGAAGACAGAAGTAAAGGAACAGATTCATTTGTGTTTTTTCAGAAAAAAACTTCACATAGGGCATGGCGGTAGTTTGCTTTCTGTTTCCATCCCGGTTGGAAAGGAGGATTTGCCTCAGGGCCCAGGGGAGAGGGCCCTTTAAAAGCAAATATGAAACGTGTGAAAGAAATCTCAGGCAGACTCCCCTTCCTCAGGCCTCTTTCTGGGAGCCTGACTCACCCCGCTGCCCTGCACTACCGGTTCTGACTCGCCTGCTGAAGCCATCCCATCATTCCTTTCTGTTAACACCTCCCCGGCAGTGGGAAAAAGTAATTTTAGGAAGCTAAGGAAACTGCAGATTCCAACACAGCCACCTGGCTAGATAACAAGGACCCTATTACACTGCTTTTCTTAGTTACACAAATTGACCTTATGCGGGACATAAGTCCTCTTTAAGTTAGTTCCTGAGGGTGCCATTCATTAGTCAGACATGCTTGTTTTAGCAGCACTAAAAGGGATCATAAACTTCTTAAAGTCATACAAGGGCAGATAAAATTTCCGAAATGAGAATTTCAATTCAGCTCATCAGAAATTGGATTAATGCAGACAGTGAACAGAATAAAGGAGCCACTGTCACTTACCATTAAACTTTCAAACTCTGCATAGAACTTCTTGAACTTGCTCGGCAGTTTCTGTTAATGAAATGAAAATGCCACATGCATATGTCAGGTTCAATACCTGGATATGTATCAGGGGTTACCATTTCAGGGGGAAATGTATTTCTTTTGGCTCTAAATCAAACATCGTGGAGACAGACTGGACTGTAAGCTATCCCATCATGTGAGGGTGAGGCTCTGGAAGATAGAGAGCTTGCCTTTGTTAGTCTTAACTTACTTGAACCAAAAGTAACTACAAATGCTTTGATCTTACTGCTTTTATAATATTTTCTAACCTGGATGATTCTTAGAGAAGGCTGTTCCCCAGAATACAAGTGGCCTGGACCTTCACCCTCTTTTTAACTCTCCAATTTTTACAGTTCAAAATTTAGATCACAGAGTAATTAGGATTAAAAGAGTTTTAGAAACAACCCTCCTTCTCTCTTACAAAGTAAGTTGCATGAGAAGAGGGATTTTATTAGTTTTGTTTACTGCTGTTTTCTCAGTGCCTGAAAGAGTGGTTGGATATACTGCAGGGGCTTAATAAATATTCACTGGAATACCTTAAACTTGTGTTTTGCAGATGGAACAAATGAAGTTTTACTGTTTAAATGACAGGTCCAAAGTCAGAGAGCTGACTATGAGCACAGCCCCTGTGATGCATATCACTTCCTTCATTTTCTACCACTTCTATTCCACGTTCTGTGCTTTTCCACATGAGCATTTCTCCCAGGTGATTTCTCTGCCTTGCTATCACATAAACTTTGGTGGTGCCCAGTACACCCATTTCCCATTTCTAGGCTGGCACAGACCCCAGGCCCCCCACTGCGCCTGCAGCTCTACTCCAGTCTCAGTGCAATGCATGACTTCTCATTTTGCTGAGGTTCTGAGTTTTTAGGAAACCTGAACTTCTGACTGCCGACAGGACCAAACCAAGATGGGACAGCAAGCTGTGTTTCCCACCTCAGAACCGTGGAAACATTTCCAAGTCCCAGCACCCAAAGAGCCTCAGCTCGCCTCTGCTCTGCTCTTCCTAGTGACACGTACCCAACATGAGATTCACCAGTTAAGCCCCTGTGATCTTCCGGAAGCTCCTTTCACCTTTTCCTCTCCATGTCTGAACCAGGTTGTCATATTTCCACTTAAAAATCTATAAAAATCTTACTTGGTTTCTAGAAATGATCTCCTATACAGCCTGATACCCATTTCCCCAGTGCTCCTTCTCCAGTTAGGTTTCAGGGAAACCAGGCATCCTTACTTAGAGGGCTCTTCAGAGGGCTGGCAAGAGCAGGGGGCTTTGAGAGATGCACAGACCCCACCTGGAATAGCCACGTCACCACATCAGGTGGTAGCTTTCCATAGCCACAGTCCATTCTTAAAATTAGACCACATTTGGTTAGAGCCAGATGTCTGTGAGCCTAGTCCAGTTTTAGTTGGATCCCTGTCATCCTAGTTCTCGTCACTTCGCTGTTTGACAGGTCCGAGGCAGCAGGACACATGCTAATAAGAAATATTGTGCTTCTTAATCTTACTATCCATCCACACTCTAGGCTTCAAGAACAGTGCCCCAGCAGTGGCCATTCTGCCCACCCAAGGGACATTTAGTACTATCTGCAGGTATCTGTGTGGTCACAAGTGGGGCGGGATAAGGTAAGATGAGCTACTGAAATACAGTGGGTAGAGGTCAGAGAAGCTGCTAAGTATCCAACAAGATACAGAACAATCCTCCATGACAAGGCCTGTCCTGCCCCATATCACCAGAGCTGAGGCTGAGAGACTTCTCCAGACTACACTCCCATTTGCTGCACTTCAGGTCGGTCTTCCCTTGTACTGAGAACCCACTCTGTTTCCATGTGGCTTAGCTTGACTTTCTGTTCCTGCTCTTTGACTGTTTCACACACGTTCTATAATTCCTTGCACTCATGGCCATTCCTTACACTGCACATGCGGCCACCATGCCACTCGCTGGAGTCGTAGGGGAAGCCACTGGGGGGTTCTCAACAAATACAGGGAGAGAAACCCAAATCAAAGATGCTCGTGCATGAAAGCTCTCCCTGCAGGATTACATGATTACATTTCGCCTTAAAAAATAGAGGTTTATGAATGATGAAAGGCTAATCTTCTCTTGTCAGCCACATACAATGATGGACATGATGCTCACAGACTCAGTACTCCAATCCCCAGAGAAACTGTAGGGCCGGCCAATTAGCAATTGCCTTTCACTGACTGCAAACCGGCCAATTAGCTCTGTCTTTTGCTGCCTGCCCTGTCCCAAGCAGTCTCCCATTTTTCTCCTTAGCACAGGAGAAGGGACTTGGATAGTATTTCCTGTGTGCTGTGGTCTCATTATTCTGGCTGCTGCTACATGAGACCTACCCCTGGCTTCCCTGGATCCATCCATTTTCCCCAACCAACTTGTTTGGACTCTGTGGGGGCCTTAGACATGGGAAGCAGGCTGAGGGAAAGCAAACCCTCTGAGGGGAAATCCGAAGTCTCCAGAAATTCCAGAGCCTTGGGCTATAAGACAGGGGCTTCGGAGCCTAGGTTTACTGGCAGCTCTCACTCTGTCCTTTTGCCCCTGCATGGCACACAGGCCTCACCAACTCCCTCATTCCTATATTCAGGGGATGAGCTGCTGTGTGCTGCATCTGCCTGGAATTTTAAGAGAAACCCAAGACAGAAGGACTTGTGAGGACCTGCCCTATAAACAATGGAAACGTTTAAGAGGGACAGAAAGAAAATAGTTTCAGGAAAGAAGCACGAAGATCATTTCACGAGAAACATTAGAGATGCAAACAGCTGCCTGTATGCATCGGTGCAAACTGAGTCTGTATTATATACTCCTTGCCCTCTTTTCTGTGTCCCACATACTTTTTTATTTTTAGTAGGAGTCTATTTTTGTGTGTATGTTCTATTACAGAGTAGTATTTCTTCAACTATATGCCACATGTAAGAGGTCAGGCACAGTTTGAGTTCTAAACTAATGCTAAATGGAGATGTTTTCCCGTTTGAATAATCCACTATCAACAAACCACTCATCTTACAGAACTTCACAACACACCTGCACAACTTTTGCCTCAAACAGAATTCCAGCCAACTGTTGTTCCTCTGCAGAGAGAGAAGCCTGCCAGGTGGTTAAGAGACACTTAGTACTGAGCTGCTCCAAACAGTTGGCTTCTGGACTCTTCCTCCCAGGAGGAAGATGACTACTGGGATAAAAATGGATCTTCTGTCCTCTTTCAATCAGAGGTAAGGTGTAGTGCAAAAGCAATAAAGCAGACATTTCCGAGAGCAATAAAATCTATGAGCAAAACTTTTGCAGGCATCCAAGTGATGTTGGTCCTTTATGTCACATCTAGGAACTGCATTTATTATTATTTACATTATGCGTATGGAGAAACTGAGATCCCCAGACAGCCCTACAACACCCCCAACACACACACACACACACACACACACACACACACACACACACACACACAAAGACAAAATCTTTTTAAAATTCTCACTCTAAAGCAATGGGAAAAAGGAGACAGGTCACTTCTCTCCAAGTGTCCCACCTTTTCCATTGTTAGACCAGTGTGAGTGATATTTCTACAGAAAAGCCCACCGGTGAGCCTGTGTTTTTCTTCTTAAGGCAAAAGTCACAGCGGGATCTCCGCTGAAGCTTACCTCCCACGTGAGTGCTAAGCGGCTCACGGCAACGTTACTCAGTCCCATGACGATGGCAAAAAAAGAGTTCAGATTTTTGTACTCCTTACAGCTGAAACACAAGAGCAGCGTGTTTGAGTAAAATGCTACTTTTGAGAGATTTTTAGAAAAAAAAAGTTAGAGTTCTATTTCCTGACAGTCATTAATATTCGTCAGGACTCCTCCATGTGAACAGGCAATGATAGATTTAATGCACGTATAAGTTCCGCTCGAGTAACCGTGTTCGGCTGTTTGATTTCTCACTGTCATTTTAGAAAGTTGATGATTTTGGCCATCGAGATTGGGTTTTGACAAGTAATTTAAAGACACCTCCCCCAGGGGTTGTTTCTATAATCTCACACTTGGTAAAAGCCGTATTAGACCTGGAGGGAACCATCCCACGGGACAAGAAGAGAGAAAGCAAAATATCTTTGGGAACTTTCAGCCCTTTACCCTAGAGGTGGACGCTCTCCCAGCAGCTTGAGGAGAACTAAGGACTTCATGATGCTGCTGCCCTGGTTCCTACCTGCTATACAAATACTTCTGATTTGTTAAAAAATAGCAACTCACAAGCATGATTCCTGGGTTGCACACTTAATCTCAAGATTCAAAACAGAAATAGTCTAAACAATGGATAACAAAATAACCAAACTTTCTGTGTTTTACAGACACTGACAAAGCCGATCATTTTTGGGGGGTGGTGGTGAAGGTCTCACTTTGTAGTCCAAGCTGGCCTTGAACTTGTGGCGATCCTCCTGCCTCAGTCTTCCAAATGCTGGGGTACACCACCATGCCCAGCCCAAAGCTCATCACTTTGAATTTGCACTTATGCAACTACTAGCTTTTATGAACTCATATATAGGAACACAACATGTAGATCAAGGTCAGAATTTCTTAGCAGAATGCTAAAGTCTAGCCCAGGTAAGGAACCCCTAACTTCTTTATCCTAGGTTCCTGAAAAAGGACAGAATTCCTTTTGCAACAGGCATAACCCTTCACCTTAACTCACAGAGTTATCTAAGTGGACTACGCCATCACCAAATCCTGTCTACATTTTTGCAAAAGGCTAATAAATGGTTGCATTTGCTACCCATGTTCTCCTTGCAAAGGTCTCAATGAGGAGTTCTTCTGCGGTCCATGTGGAAATGGGGAAATATGTTCCCCAGAAGCCCCGGTGTATCTGGCCCATCTGTAGGAAGCAAGCAAGGCCTTTCTGGGGCTGGGACAGTGGCTCACTGGTCATCTCAGGGGCTGAAAGGTAACTGGGAGACACCAAGGCTGCAGGCAGCAAGTGTGATCACACACATTTTTTTTTTTTTTTGCCTTTGTCTTATGCACATGATCTTGGAAGAATAAGTGCAAGGCTGTAGACCAGTGGTCACTGTTGTGTGACCAACTAACTTTATCACTTAAGTGAAATCATGAGATGTCTGTGTGCCTCAGTTTCCTTGCACGCAAACAAAGGATAACAACACCAGTCCAAGGGCTTGAATAGCATATGTTGCAGTTCCCTAAAAACATCAAGTTTAAACAGATGTCACTAGATTTCCATCACGTTCTTATAGGCCGCAGAGTTATGAAAGTCCGCAATCTCCAGCTGGACTGTATGAGTAGCTCCATCCTGGGACAGCAAGCTCAGCGCAGGGCTTAATAATGACTAGATAATATAAACCAATTTATACCAAAGGCGAAGTGTGCCTACTCACATAACCAGAAGGAAAAGAGTAAGAAAGGCAAATCCATTTTTAAAAATCCCAGAAGTTTTCATGCTAGGCTTCTACGCTGCCTGTATAAAAATCACAGGAGTTAGCTGAAAAAGGCTTTCTTTCTCCTCCTCATTTAGCATCCAGGCCAAGGTGAAGAGAGAATGTGTTCCTTGTGTTGGGAAAGCACACTGTCATAGTTTCCATAATCCACTCATTCCAGACACTGAAGGCATTTGTTCTTTGCAATCAGGTTGTTCACACTTCTAGGGAAGGCAGCTATCTCTGCACCAGCGATGCATATGGAATGTTTGACCAGAAGCTAACTCTTTCTCTTCAAGTAGCCAGCTTTTCCCAAAGAAGAGGTAGCAGAATTTGGACCCAAGGGATTTGGTATTCCATCAAACCCTAAAAATTCTGGCAAAATAACTCAGGGCATTTGGCAAGCTGATAGCTATTAAACATCAAGCAACCTTTATTTCTTTGTTTAGCCCTGGAAATGAAACTCCACATGGGCTCTAAACTGGCTCAAGAAAATTGCCTGGCTGGGGTTACTTGTTCTCCCAACCTTCCTGTGCTCCAGCTCCCTGCCTTTAGAAAGGAAAGGAGTCTCACAGCCACAGGCCAAATTTAGCCTTTTATTTTTAGCACTGTGGTGATACCAAAAACATGGAAGTAAACAGGAGGTTGTCAGGCATATCTAAATAGCAGGAGAAGATTAAATTCATGTCAGGGAGAGATCTAACTGGCCCCCACAGGAAATAAATTGCTTCCCATGAAGTGCTGTTAAATAGAATATGTATAAGATGCTTGCTTTTTCTGATGTTTATGGAGATGATTTTCTTGTACCAGGTTAGCTCGCCTTTATGCATTTTACTGATTTTATTTTGGCTGAGCTGGATGTGCTGTTGTTCCAGCATATTCTACTGCCCTCTACTGGTTAGAACGTGCTATGCTGGACAGCCATCAGCTTCCTGAGCTTATACAACTTTGCCCCAACACAACTTTGTGGAAAGACTAAACCAAAGGAAGAAAAAAAAAATCGAGTGGTTCCAAGCAAAAAGAAAGTCATGGTTTTGAATCTAGCATCAGTCCTGCAAGATATTAATTTACATATTGATGTCAAATATAACAAAAGGTAGAAGAAATTCATCTCTTACAAGAATTCAATGATTCATGAGCCACTGTGGCTGGTCTTTGTGCCTGAGTAGTTCCTGTTTCCTGCTTTCTTTTTTAAGGTGTAGTCTAAGAAAACAAAAGGAAAACACAGCTCAGGTTTTTCTCTTCCATACTTACTGGGCTGCTATCTTAATAAATTTCTTTAGGAGCTGAACACGCTTGCTGAGCTGGGAACAAAGGCAGATCTCAGTGACAACCCAAAACTGAATTTCATTAAATCTCCTCAGGAACAAGTCCAAGTTTGCTGTGGTCTTTTTAAAATTATGCCTTCCAAATGTGTGATAGATTAGCTCCAGCTAGAACAGAAAGGAAAAAAAAACAATTTCACATATTTGTTGGGTTTTAAATCAAAACACCAGCCCGGTTGCAAATGTGAATTCCATCCTTGACCTGGATATAGCTTGTCCTACAGAGCTGAAGGGCTTCCATGAGGCTCGGTAACTATATAAATGCTAACTAGGGTTTATTGGCTCACTGTACTCAGGAAGAGAGAGCACTCGTGGCATAGCATAGCACCGTAAGGATGTTGCTTTAACACTCAAAGACTTTATAACAGGCTTTGCTAATCAACTCAATATGAAAAAAAAAATCCTTGCATATGTTTTCCATATGGCAGCACATGGTGACAGTTACAGTTCAGCAGGGCCAGCAGGGTTCATTCGCAACTGCTATTGTCCCTCCTACGGCACCTGACTGGGCAGCTCACCTCGTGCACACAGTTGAAGAGTTCCCAATCATAAAGTGTCATCTGGTACGCCAAGTCTTTGGAGCTCATCAGCTCAAAAGTCCCCACTGTCCCAACAGTTGGGCCTTCTTGTTCCGGTAAGGGAGTCTGTGGATAATAGCGCAAAGATACATCAGCGTCTCAAAGGAGACAAGTGTCTAGGGCTGGAGGCGATCTGATTCTGGAGCTGCTTTTCTGAAAAATCTTGAAACTTTGATTTTACTCAGGGAGAAAGATGCCTTTGCTTTTAATGCCACTTGCTTTGGTGCTACCCTTATAGTCATGAGTATCTTTCTAATCAACTCTGCCGACTGGAAAATGTGGACCACGGCAAATGAGAGTAGGTGAAGGGTGACCTATACAAGGCCTCTTATGCCTGGCCCTGGTCCCAAGAAAGAAAGAAAAGGTCCCTAGAAAGAAAGAGAAAGTCCCTATGCTCTTTTTTCCCCGCTGGAAAAGATGGAGTTCTTAGAGACTTTCCCCCTCCTGTTTCCCACTAACACTGTTCCGGAGCAAGCTACCGGCATGACCCTTTGGATGTTCATCCACGCTGCTTCTTACTACTGCTGGTGACTCTGGTCAGGCTCCTGCAGCTCCCTCCCTGCAGCACACGGCCTGGGGTGGCGAAGTGGCAGACAGCACCTGCGCTGAGGTCACACCCAAGGGCTGATTCCTCTAACCCTGGCTGCTGTTGTGCTGAGAAGATACTCCAATGGCCATGCAGTTTGAGGATAGATTTTAGAAGACCAAATTCTGCTACTTTTGGAAGACACTTGGTCAAAATTTTCATGACTTACTGACCTCATTTTTACATTATGAAAAAGGATATAAAGTATTTTTACCTAGGAAGATGAATGATATATATGCAAAGGAAATGATACACAATATATAAATATCTATATATAAAATTGGCAGTATAGACATGAAAAAGTATAAAAATGAAAAGAATATTTCCCAACATGACGCTAACCATATGTGGATACTCAGTATTCCTGTCAGGGGCATGGAAATGTAGTTCAGTGGTAGAGCACTTATGGAGCATACATGAGGCTCTAGGGTCCCAGCACGACCAAGACAAACAAACAAATAAATAACAAAATTCATGCCCAAAGTACTGATATTACTTAGGTTTCACCATCATCATCATCTTTATCATCATTATCACCAGAACCATTCTATAAATTCCCCTCTGCATTCTGAGTACTAAAGAAATTATATGTTCACTGGAGCTGGGGGTGTAGCTCAGAGGTACAACATTTGCCTAGCATGTGTGAGACCCTGGGTTCAACCTCCAACACTACAATAAAGAAAAAAGAAAAAGAAAAAGGGAAAAAGAAAGAATGAAACTATATGTTCAGGGCACTGGTGGTCCCTGCCTTTGAAAGTCTACAGTCTAAAGAGGGCCAACCGAGTTCCCTGTGTGAGAGCCAACCTTGACCAACATGGACAGTCAGCTGCTGGTCTTCATCGGCCTATCTGGAGCGACACTGACACACACAACTCCCAGCTGTAGAGATGAACAGGCTAGGAAACCGAAATGGGCTTTTCGAAAATTATTGGGTATCTGAAATGAATGCATGGCCTTCAGTATTTCTTGGAAAAAGATGCTGGGCTTTAAAAGATGCAGCAGATAAACTGATCTAAGGAGCAAGCTTTTCCCTGAGTACCACGGATTGTGCATCGGAGGATGGTGGATGGCAAGGGAAGTCTGAAAGTGGGGAAGCTGTCTGTCAGGAACAAGAGAAGACAGGGGGGCCCATGGACAGCTTTTAGAAAGTTTTTCAGTACTAGATTTGGCATCCCCTCTCCTTGTGCTCCTACACCCTCTGTGCTCTAGGTGGCATCTGTCACACTGGATCCTCGCTGATTATGCACCGGTGGCTCTCACTACACTGTGAACTCTTTGAGGGATACAGACCATTGTGGATGGGTCTTTGAAACCATCCTGGAGTTGCAACCATCGACAGGGGCTGGAATGATGAAATAGGTCCTAAATAAAAGTCTAACAAAGCAGTGAATGGGTAAAAAGAGTCAAATAACAGTATAATGAGGATTTTTAAAAAATAATTTTCTTTCTACTAACATTTCTGCTTAAAAAAATGTCGAGGGAGTAGAGCTGCAGAAGTCAAGCCCTTAAGCATGAGGATAAACACTGGTACTCTACTAATTTTAGACAACACAATTTAACACTAAAACTTGTTCTCTTCCAGGCTGTTTGGGTTAGTCACAATGCCCTCACTTAACTGTAAGCTGTCATAGGGACAAGGGCCCTGGGGCACTTGTCCTATTGGGCACAAAAGCAAGCCCAGCCCCGAGTGAAAAGCAGATACTTCGTGAGGATGTGTCAGCAGAATGATCAGAAGGTTTGGCCAGCACTCTACTGAAGACTCACCCCTGCATCACACTTCCTACAAGGACTGTCCTCAAAGGAACACTTCAGCAAGCCAGAGGAGGAGCTACAGGTAAGGTTCAGCCCCCTGCAGCACAGCAAATGGCAGCACGCTGACGGGGGAGAAGCTCGGCTCAAAGTACTTGTTGTGAAGTAAATTCCTTTCAACCACTGAGGCCTCAGAGTGGAAGATAAGCAAGGACTAAGCCCTTGGAAGGCTGCAAGACTATGCCAATAAACAGAGGCTTAGAAGGTTAGTATCTGCCCCTCAGGGAGCTGGAGACAGTCCACAAGCCTATCCAGCCACCACACTGCCTGACACCCTGGCCAAGAACCAGCTGGCAGCGGAGGGCCCTGCGCCCCGTGCGGTAAACATGTCCCATGGCACCTTCAACAGGGCTTCAGCAGCATGGTTTTTCATGGTTTCCTTTCTAGGAGAGGGGAGCGTGACTCAGAACACCGCTTCTCTGTCCCTTGATGTTGAGAGATATTTATTTAGCAAGCATTGAATGCAGAAGACTGAAGAACACAGGGAAAGGACTGCGAGCCAATTCCAACTTTACAGCGCTGGTGGCTCAGGAAAGGCTCAGGCCTGGAGGGACAGGGATGAGCACAAGAACCAAAGCAATGCAATGCGTGCAAAGGTCTTCTCCTCCCGAATGCAAGGCATTGTGAAAAGCATTGTCCTCACCTGGAAATCAGGATCCTAATCAGAGGAAACAAGCTCTGAAAAGTGAATCTTTTTCTTTTAGTTTGCAGCCCTGGGGATCGAATCCATGGCCTCAGGCACTCAACCATTAAGGCACCCTTAGTCTGAGAACCTTGAATTCACCTAGAAAACCTGATTTGACTAAACCTGAATTCTCTTCCCAAATTCAAGGCAATTTACCTCTAGCTCTCACATCATCCTTTTCGTAGAAGGGAAGCCCTAGGAGTCCAGAGACTGAGAAAACTAGTTTCTCTACTCTCTGAATTGGTCCCACAGGATAAGATATTTTAATAACTACTTACTTCCATGCCTAGTTTTTCTAGGATGAACAGAGATGAACATGCTCTTTATTCACAGAAAGCTCTATGTGGTTGGGAACAAGTGCTTTGGAGACTTAGGGAAGGCTTGGGCCGTTGGCGTTCCCCAGCCAAGGGAAAGACAGTGCTTGCAGGGAACAGCATTGCTCTGAGGGCTGATGACGGCTTTGCCAAAGTCCTATCCACATCCCACCTAGGAGTCTTGTAAGCAGTGGTATCTTGCTTTTAGGAAAGATTATTTCCACCCTGACCTAAATATTCATATTTTTAATATTCAACGTTCATATTTAAATTTAACATTAAATGTAACGTTAAATTTACCATTACACTTCATGTTTAAATTGGGGACATTGGGGGCTGGGGACTTAGCTCAGCGGCAAAAGCACCTGCCTGGCAAGTGCAAG